CTACATGCACCCGTAGTCTGCCTCTGTTAGAGACACTGGATTAGAAGCCAGCGGCTGTCGCCCAGTGTGTCGTAGCAGTGAGGTAAGCGGTGTGATGGGTCAGATCGTGGTAGGTCGGTTTAGAGCAGACCTGGGCATCGTACGGCCCGCGGGAGGATTCTGACCGGCCCGCGAAAGACCACATGACGTAGAAAAAAAAACATATTTTCTAACTAAAAGCGCATTGCTTTTATTTTGAAGGCCATTCTCACGGTGCACGTCAGCTGTGCACGTGAAATGCGTGTGATTGACAGGTCACCCCTGAACTCTACCTTCTGTTTCAAACAAAGATGGACTATTTCCTCCTTTACTGAAGTCAAAGGTAAACCTGTGTGTTTGCTTTGTGGGGAGCATGTCGCCGTGTTTAAAGAGTACAATTTGAAACGGCTTCACGAGACCGAACATGGCGATAAAGACAAAAACTCGACTGATGCCGAGCGAGCGCGGATCAACGGATTTACTAGCAAAGCTCGAAAAACCACACGGCTGTTTTACAAAGCTGCAGCCAGAGATGCAGCGACCAGAACCAGAACACGAAGCCATTCTGTGAGGGGCAGTTTGTGAAGGAGTGCGTGGTCGAGTCCAGAGGAAAAAGAAGCGTTTGAAACGCACCGGGACGAGGAGGGTGGAGGACATGGCGGGGAATCTGGAGTTTCAGCTGCAAGGTGACGCGTGAAGCTCTGGATGAGCGCCGTGACGTCCGTCACGCGGCCCAGCTGCTCAAGTCTCCCCGGTGGACGACGAGCGACTTCAAGCTTACGGAGGAGCCGGCAGCAATGCGGCCAATGAAAGGAACCACGACGGGGACGGATCTGTTCACCGGGGCAAACGCATGCAGGGACAAACCGGGACGCCAATGGGACAGACTGGCAGGGGTCACCACGGATGGATGTCCAAATCTGACTGGGAGGAATGTTGGGCTTTTGGAAAGAATGAAAGATAAAGCGAGTGAACTCGCCGCAGAGCAGGAATTGGTGTTCATACGTTGTGTTGTTCATCAGCAAGCGTTGTGTCCGTCAGCGCTTAAACTTGTTGTTACTACAACAGTTGATTTCATGGCAGCGGAGCATTGAACCACAGGCAGTTTGTTTCACTATCGGAGGAGCAGGAGAGCGAACATGCTGATGTCCGGTACCACACAGCTGCCACATGGCTCAGTCCGGGCAAAGTGCTGAAAAGGTTCTGACTTCTGAAATCAGAGGTAAGAGTTTTGTGAGATGGAAGACAAAACCACCCCAGAGCTGTCTGATAAGGACCGGATGGCAGATTGAACGTTTGCTGTTGCTGTGACTGCAGTGATGAATGAAGTGAACACACAGCTGCAGGCCGAGGGCCTCTTTGCTCATGAAATGCACATCCATGTGAAAGCCTTCGTGACAAAGCTGCAATTCATTTCAAGGCAACTGGGCAGCAACAATGTCAAACACGTGAAAACCCTGAAAGAAGTCAAACCATCATCTGATCACCGGCACTCGTCCATGTTAGGAGCACTGCGTGATGAATTTAAGGCGATTTCAAAAAGGTTGAGGATGAAATGCAGCTGGTTTCCTCTCCTTTACCACTAATGTTCAGCTTGAACTCACTGACCTGCAGGCTGATTCACTACTGAAAGAGCACTTTAAGTCAGCATCACTGCCAGAGTTCTACTCTGCTCTCAACGAGGAGAACTTTCCAAACAGGAGGAGACGTGCTCAGAAGATGTTGGTTCTCTGTGGATCCACCTACATATGTGAACAGACATTCTCAGTCATGACGTTTACCAAATCCAGGTACAGATCCTCTCGCTGATGTCAGCTGTGCTTCACATCTCCACCTCAGACATTCAACCTGACTTTGATGGACTTGTTGCAGCTCCACAGAGACTGGATTTCTCACATGAATGAGAAAAGAACTGAAGACACTAAAATGTGTGAATATAACAAGTGAAATGGGACACTTGATATGCTTCTTTTCTTTTTTTGCACCGTTCTGAAAATGTTTTAATACAGGCGTGTAAAGTCAAAAAGGCTCCGAAACTGGGACTGATGATGTGATGTCCTTAGAAAGCGAAGAAAATCCTTGTTTCAATAGTATATGAAACTCAAAATGCCCTTTTGATATTTATGGGACTGAAAATGGTTTCACATTTTGAAAATTACATTTGAATAAATTCTACTTTTGAAAGTAACCTCACCTTTGACTTGGCAAATAATAACGTACACTCTTACCAGCAGTCAAAACAATGCCATTTACTGCTTTTAATATAGAAACAATGTATATTCTGCATAATTGAGTTCAGGATTTTGGCCTCCAAAATATTTTCAGTTTCTCATTTGGCCCCCTGGGAAAAATAATTGCCCCCCCCTGTTTAGAGGATCAGGGAAGCTCCGGGTCCTTTTTGTTTCTTTGCTTTGACAGACCGCTGGCACCGGCCGACTCCACAGGCCTTGTTCCCTGTCCGTCCTCCTGTCCCGTGTCTTTGTACTTGTGTGTAATTGTTTGTATTGTTATTGTAGGGGAAATAAAGCCACCATAGCCATCCATTGTAGCAGCGTGCTTTACTTATTGTGCTAGCAAGCTGGTGCCTTCGCATACAGGTTCATAATCGTCCAGTGGTCTTTGGTAGTTACGCCTTCCTCCTCTCCTGTGTGTGTGTGTGTGTGTGTGTGTGTGTGTGTGTACGTGATGGTATCATTGTAATCTTTCGGGGGGAGGTGCTGTTATCTCAATATTCACGGCAGTGAATAAATGGAATCATTGGCTGAGAACACGTCATGTCCGGTACGATAGGTGGCGCTGTTTTCATTACAACTAGTTGTGATGCAGCCATTTCCGCTTGATCTCTTCACCACGACCAACAACAACAACAACAACATCAACGTCAGGAGAAAGACGGCGAGCGGAGAGCGAGGTGAAGCTACGTCCCTCGACTATGTGTGCGTGATGCTAACAGGAGCGCGGCGAATGCGAATGGCGCTATTGGCTGATTCGATAACGGAGAGAAGACGCCGTCGCCGAAGGTACATGGAGAATTTAATTCTGACCAACAATACATTGTTGGACTCTGCCATTGTACCGCAAAGGTCTGGAAGAGCTCTGGATGAAGAGCAGAAACAAAGTCTTCTGTTTTCACCGTATCGGATGACGACGACTGGAGAGCGAACTTTCGCACGACTCGAGGATCTTTCCACAAGTTGTGTGGAATTATGGAAGGAGTCATGAAGCCCGCGGAGGTGACTGTTCGAGCACCGATGCCGCTGTCCTCCAAGGCGTAGTGCACGACGCGTATCGCTAAGTTTGGGCCAAATACGTTTAGTTGTCTGCGCTGTGCAACGTGAACGCTTACTGATCCGTTCAATTCACCGCGACCTCAGGCCTGCGTGTGCGTGTTTGTGTGTCCTGTGTCGCCTACGTATGTTCACGTGTGTGTTAGTGTGTCGTGTGTGCCATTAGAAGCTGACGACTTGTTCTCTTTCAGCTTGTGGAGCATCAGCTGTAAGATGCCTGGGTGAGCTCATGACGCTAACGTGCTCAGCCAGACACGCCTGTTAGCAGAAGTAAGTCGTACTCTGAAGACGTATTAATGTGGGGATCAAATCAATGAGATCAATAAATGAGTCGAGCTACTGAAAGTTATTCATGCAGAAACTAGTGGAGCTCCCACCAAGCTATTGAGATGTTACCAGCTTAAAGTAGAATGATGTTTTATAGAGGCTTTATTGTGCTTTTATGTATATATTGTTTTATTTTTGCTGGGCCATTTAGTAAGCAGGTCCAACACTGGAAACCATTTCTGTTTCTCCTCCCAGGAACCGAGAGAAATCGCTCACTTCCTGTTGGGAAGCTGTGGATCCCAACTGGTCAGTGGAAGCGGCCACACTGGCATCGAACCTGCCACAGCCAGGTGGTCGTGCCAACAACCGTGGACAGAGGATCAGAGCCGCCCTCAGATTACCTGAGTGCAAACCTGCCCCGCGCAGACCTTTAGACGTCTTCAGGACACAACTGCCAGCTGGTCATAGGTTTGTAAACACAATTCTTGTACAGTTCATGTGTGTTTCATTCCACAAATAAAGAAACTCACAGAGGTTTTAGTTAAGTGTTTTATTTATACGAAATATTAAGAAAAGTAAAACGATGTAAAAGAGCACACAAGTATAAAAGGTAAAACCTTGAATGTCACAGAAAATATATATATATATATACACACACACTGAGGTAGAGTGTATAAATTGTGCTTTTCAGGCGCTAGTGTAAATAAGTAAGCATCCATAACCATAATGGGCGTCTTGCGGTGGTTGATGTTGTGGTGGTGGTGAGAATGTGGTGGGTTGAGGTTGAATGTTCTCCATTCTCTGCATCAGCTTCTCAACCGTACTGTCAGTGTGGAGGATGCTGGCGATCAACCGTTCCTCCCGGGCCTCACTTCTTGCCATGTCCTCCTTCCATTGTCGAGTCATGACTTGCATCTGGTTTACCAGCACATGGACGTCTCTCACTGGCCTTGTTTGCTGGGTCCTCGTTCCTTTAAGAAACGGCAGCTATAAAGTCAGTCGTATCCCTACCGATTAGGCATGTGGTAGTAACCATCTCGACATCAGCTGTTTGTTAGACTACACAGGATGAGTGACAGCATGGCATGAAGATTCTTTGTGATGCCCATATGTTGATGCAGTTATAATATTGCAGAACTTACCAGGTAGATCATCGGTGATTGTAGCACGCAGTGGAGTAGAAGGTGGTGGAGAGCAGCTAGAGTCGACCTAACGGAGGAGGTGGCTAGCTAGCACTTGTTTTAGTGTGATGCAACTGAAATGAACTTACCCATGGTAGTTGGCAACCGAACACCGGAATCTACGCTGTTGTGCTCTACTAGGGACTCTTGTGTCGTCCATTGGGTTGTTTGTTTGTTTTCTGCCGGTGTGAGATGCTCGTAGCGGTGAAAACATTCTGTAAACAATTGTCTTGTGCTAAAAGTCAGGTCGCAGTGGTTGACCCTGAGATGGAGGGAGATAGAAAGATTTAGGGTTTGCAGCTGTGTTTGGGGAAGGGGGTCATCTTGCTCTCACAGACCTTCGATCAGAGGAGCATTGGGTGTTACCCTCAGCTTCACCGGAGTTCTTATCTCAACATGATTTGTGGCTTCTCGTAACTGCCGCTAAGAACTGTCTTCAAGTGTATAAAAACTCAGCGTTTTTACTGCTCGGAGACGCCATTACACAGAGCGCTGGAATACGTGCTGGTGTGTTGGACCTCCTGCTTGCAAGCAATAGTTAGAGACCGATATCTGCGGAGAATTGCTCATGTCATCTTTTTCTCTTCTAAATGTAAACCTTTTGACTTTAATTGATCAACGTGCTGGATCCTTCTCATCAACCGACTCGGGGGATCGGAGATCCCGACAGAAGTGTTGAATGACGATAAACTGAAGGGTGAAGCCTTGAATGACGATGAAGTGATGATAAACACTTCATCCACGGTTACCTAACCCTTCGAACACAGTTCAGTGCACTAACCCCTGGGCGCCAACAAATCGTGTTTGGCACCCAGCGCCAAAGGTGGAGATGGGGACCTCCAGCCACAACGACGTGGACCTCAGCTGGATCCCTCAGGAGACCCTCAACCAGATCAGTAGGGCTCCTCTCTCTCCTTCTGTCTCTCCCTTTGTCTCCTTCTGTCTCTCTGCTTCTTCTGGAAGTTGATCCTCATGATGAATATTTGAAAGCATCTAAAAGGCTTCAGAGGTTTTGTAGAGAACATAAAGATATAAAGTGACATTCTTTTGTTGCTCGGACGCTTTCATCTCTGCTGCCGTTTTTCTCGCAGAATCAGCTGTTCTCTCCCTGTTTGACCTTTAACCTCCACTCTGCATGAGGGTCACTCACTGTTTCTCTCTCATGTTTCCCTGCGTCTCCAGTGCAGAGTCGCAGAGGTGAGATGTGTGTGTGTGTGTGTGTTGCTTAAGAGATGAAATAACTAATGAACAACACGCAGCAAAACGTCTTCAGCCTCCGTTTAAACAGAATGAAACATCTTCATCACGGAGGTGACTTCTCTTCTCTTCTTCTCTCCAGACAAAGCGTCTCCCAGAAGATCTCCTCGCAAGAGGAACCAGAAACGCTCAGCCGGCTCGGACGAGTGACGGTCGCCATGGCGACGGTCCACAGAGGACGGATGAAGACGGGACGAGTGGGGACTCGTTCCACTGAGAGACTTTAAACACACAGGGATCATGTGACTGGTTTTATCTGCTCGTTTCCTCTGTGGGAGACACAGCGTTGATGGATTCATTCCATCCAGAGGAAACGAGCTTCTGCTTTCATTTTGTTTTTTAAATGTGCAGGAAATAAAGTTTGATTTGATGTCGTCTTTGTTTGTTCTGATAAGTGTTTACGACACATTGCTGTATAAACGTGTTATAACTTAATAGTTGAAGTAGGAAAACAAACTTTAAAATGAAGAAAAGAACTAAATAATCAAGTCACTTTTGAGACGATTGTTTCACTTTTATTATTAATTTCCTGCTGCAATAATCAGACTTTAATCATACAAGTATGTCAGCAAAGTAATACATGGAGGGACTAAATATACTGTTAGAAACAGAAGCACCTGATATTATCTCATTAAACATTTGAAGTTGAAATCTGCTAAAAAAATTATTCATATTTTCCTTATTTGTCGTTTTTCAAACGTCTACTTGAACATTGTGACACATAAAGATGAAGATTAAACATCTAAACGATAATTATTGATTCCATCTGCAACACCACAAGTCCCAGAGAGCTGTGGACCCCCCAGAGTCCAGACCAGCTCAGGTACCCCTCACCTGCTCCACCTGCATCTACACCCACATGAACCACCATCAGCTGCACAGACTGAACTATGTGGTGAGCAGAGAGGAAGGTTCTCCACCAGGAGGAGACTCTCCCTCCTGCAGAGAACACAGAGACACTGAGGAACCAGAACAGGACCAGAGTCCAAACCCAAACCCAGGATAAAGAGTTTCAGTGAATGTGGTGCTGAAGGTGTGGATGTGGATCAGTGTGTCAGAGGAGACTCTGTAGAAGGACAGAGAGCCAGCAGGACAGTCCACATACACTGCTACTCTACCAGAGGAGGAGGTGGAGGAGGAGGAGGAGATGTCTGTGTCTGTCTTATTGTGATGGACATAGTAACCTTTATCAGAGCATCTCAGACACCAGGACTGATCATTCCATCCAAACACACACTCCCCACGGCCTCCTTTCCTCTTGATTCCTCTGTAACTCACTGATACATAAACGTCTCCTCTCCACTCGACCTCCCAGTAACAGCGACCAGTCAGACCAGTTCTACACAGCAGCTGAGGCCAGTAGTCAAATCTGTCTGGATGATCAGGATACGACTGATCCTCCTTCCACACACGTGTCACCTTCCTGTTGTTGTCAGACAGTTTGAGTTGTGTGTTTACTGTGTTTGTGTCGATTGTGAGTTCACAGGAATCTGATGAGAGAACAAGACACAATACAGCTGCAGTTATTAATCATGTGTTCATCTACTGACACGTTGATGATGACGTCACAGAGGTGAATGAGTGATGTCACAGTGTGAAGATGGTTGAATCTTCATGAATCAAAGCACACTTACACTTCCTCAGACCTGGTCTCAGCCATCGGACTCCATCAGGCTCCACCCTGAAAGGAGGAGGGGGGTCAGAGCAGCATGGAGACGTGGACATTACATCACACACAGCTTTGTCCTTCATGTCCACATGGACCACCTCTTCTTCTTGTGATTGGCCGATGACCACAGCTCATCACGTTCACTCATTCATCTATTATTATTATTATTGTCAGCATCATTCTGACCGTCAGCTTCTATTTCACACTCAGTTTCCTTCAGCAGTCAGTGAATAAATGTTTAAACCTCATCAGGTGGTTTCTTTGTCCACTTGTGGTTCAGTGACAACAAGCTGTGAACACAACATGTGACATGTGATCGTCTTCTACAGTAGTTCTGTAACATGAGATCAAGCAGCTGCTTCCACATCCAGCAGGTTCACGTCAACATGAAGGTTCCTCAGGAGTCTCTGTGTCACCTGATGGACCAAGTCCACTATTGTCTCTCTTCGGTCTCCAGCATCTCCTGAGGAGAACATCTTGTCCTTTCTCAACGTGTCCTTTTGTCCTCGTGAGACGTCATCAGTCTTAGCCCGAGTCCTGTTCCAATTCTAAAGTCCACATCTGGCCGAGAACCGTCATAATACCCAGATGTGACTCGCCCCGCCCATTTGACCCAGAATGCATCGGAGCAGGCTGCTCTGTTCAAATATCCCAGAATGCATTTCACCTCAGCAACAGTGAACGATGCCAGAGGGTCACAGTTTATAAATACTACTAACGTTCTATTTAAGTCTAATCCACATTTCTGCGGTCGGTTTGTCGACATTCAGCCTCGGTATCGATTTGCTGGATGTGGGAGATGTGAGGTTTAGTTAACGGGACCATCAGACTCTTCTCAGCCGGTTCTCAGGGAGTCTTCTGTGAAATGACCCGCTGGTCTCAACGTCTCCGTACCGGTGACACCTGAGATGCCGTGAGAGTTTTTCTGTGTCTTAATAATGTCAACTGACACTATATTGGAACTTACTTACGTTTCTCTGTGTTTTGCTGCAGCAGCGTGTTGCTTTTCTGTCTAATTACGGGTTCATACTCGTTGGCTTGCATTAATATGTGCAGCTCAATAGGGCTGAATATATAGTTTGTGGTGGTTGTCATGGTAACTCCTAGCATCATGGATCCATTCATGCTGCCTTCATACTGTGATGCTGCACGCGCTCAACTCTGAGTCAACCTACTCGACTTGATTGAACCAACAGCTGTTCTGAACCCAGAAACTCAGAGTTTAGTTTGTTAAACCTCCTACTTGAAACGGACACCAGGTCCACCATCAGCTGTTGGTTCTTCACTGAGCGTCTGTGGCCGACTGTCACCTGTAGCTTCAACAAGTCCACTCTGATCATCCAGGGAACCGTCTCTCAGTGCAAAGCACCAAAACCAGGAGAAGCTGAACTCCTTTAAAACAGCAAACGTTCCTCCTGTGATGATCCATCAAGACGCTTTGAACTGTTTCTGACTGTTTGTCTCTTAATAGTAATGTCTGGACTAAAGGACAAACACACACTGGAGGCAGATGACGAGCTGCACAGTGTTGTTTGATAAGAGCCCACAAACCTGCAGCGTGACCACGTTGACTCATATCAACCCACCATGATGGCGTCAGCGTGTCAGGACTAGAGCATGGATCGGGCCGACTTCTTCTGTCCGAGCCCGGCCCGAGTCCGAGCCGAGTCCTAACCCGGCCGATTAGGTCCCAACGGGCTCGGGTCGGGTATCCAGCCTCTAGTCAGGATAAACCACTGTCTCATAACGTGGAAACAAGACAAGGCTCCAGAGAAAAAAGCCTTTCATCACCTTCCTCCCTGTTCAGGCTCATCCTGGCTACTGATCCTCACTACTTCTGTCTGTGTTGATGGTCTCATGTGGGACACAAACAGTTGGATGAGTCTCTGGTGGTTTGAGGTCAGCTTGGTGTGTCAGGGTCTTATTAACCAGGCTGACAGTGGGACAGAGAAAAGGTTTCCAGCTCCTCTACAGACTGATGGTCTGTGGCTGCAGCCTCTTCATACCTGAGAGTCTCCAGTCTCCAGTGAGGATCCTCCAGTCCAGCAGACAGCAGCTTCACTCCTGAGTCTCCTGGATGATTGTAGCTCAGGTCCAGCTCTCTCAGATGGGAGGGGTTGGAGCTCAGAGCCGAGGCCAGAGAAGAACAGCCTTCCTCTGTGATCAGACAGCCTGACAGCCTGCAGACACACAACACAACACACATGTCACATGATCTGAGGGGCTGGAGGGGCACTGCAGGACTGAGATACTATCAGGTACTGAGGGGTCACATTAACACGGTTACTGACTGGTTTACAGTCACAACTAAAGACCCATGTCAACAATCTGATCATGTGTATAGGGCTGTCATAAATATCACATTTTTGTCGTGCGATTAACATTTATTGTGATATTATTGCCATTTTATGCCACTGGTAACATAATGACAATAGCATAGTAAGAAAAGTACAGGATTTCAAAGAATGTTTTATTTGTCAGAATAGTTAGACATTAGAATATGAAACTATATTCTATATAAATAAAACAAAATAATAAGTGCAAGGGATGAAGTATCGGGCTTTTTGCGATTCGGGTTCGAGAAAATGTGTCCAGCGAAAAGGCGCCGCGGCAGCCGGGGGTTTTAACGCAGGGCTTCGACCACCGGCAGGGCGACGCGCTCCGCGGCTGCAAGAAGAGACTGAGCGACCCGCCCAAAGAGCAGTCCAGAGGAACCGACAGTAGTTCAGGTTAAAGACGGCCGGATGGTTGTTGTTTGTGTGAGAGCTTAGCTTAGTTAGCTTAGTTGGGTTCACTGCTTCTCTTCACCTGTCGGTGTCGCTCTGTGTGCGTGCTGCATAAGCCCCGCCCCCTTTCCACAAGGAAAAGAGGATCAACTTAAATGTTGGGGACGTTCATTGAGATGTAAAATTAATATCGCAGCACGGAAAATTATTGCACACGATTTCAGAAAGTGTGCAGAGAGAGATGTCATTTTATCGCATATTGCGACACATTGTCCTAAATGTGAAACAATATATTGAAATAATCTCTGCATGTTCATAGAAATATGTGGAAAACACAAATTTGATTTAAATCATGCAAGCAGAAATGCAAGGTAAGCAATGTGACATTGAATTAAATAAAGACACCGAGTGGACATTGATTGAATCCTGACCTGAGAGTCTCCAGGTCACAGTGTGGACTCTGCAGTCCAGCAGACAAGATCTTCACTCCTGAATCCTGCAGGTGGTTGTTACTCAGGTCCAGCTCTCTCAGACTAGAGGACTGAGAGCTGAGGACTGAGGACAGAACTTCACAGCTTCTCTCTGAGAGGTTACAGCCACTCAGCCTGAAGAGACAACAACAACAAGAACAACAATATTATTTATGCTAAAATGAAATCCTATTTGATGAGGAGTTTGGACTAAAATACATCATTAAGAGCAAAGAAAACAATTATTTTGTT